GATTTCAGTTTAATAAAAACTGCATCGATGAGAATAAACCAATATTAGCGTATTTTGTTTTTTTCTCTTTCGTTCTTTTCATTCTCGTCGAAATCATCCAAGTTTAGATTAAAAAACTTGGCTGTTTACCTTCATTGTTTCTATCGTGAAGACGATTAGCAATTACATTTTATAATATTTTTTTTCCACTCCTGCTAAAATGACTCATAAAAAAAGTACTTACTGTCTTTGATCTGTTTTTGGCAAGATGAACGAAACAGCTTAACTACTCTATGGAAACTTGTTAGAGAAGACAAGTTTCATTTTATCAAGATTCTGTAGTTATGAAATTATAATATAATACACTTATTTCAAGATACTACAAATGATTTAATGAATATCTAATGTCTTGGCTTCACGAGTGGTAATATAAATAATTTAAATTCTATCATATATGGTAATATAAAAATAAGTAACATGTCGGCTCTATGAGTCTCGCTTATCTCAATCCTGGGTGTGATACTAACGACGTAGCATATTGACTATTGATTCAATAAATACATTCTAAGACATGACTGAGACAAAATCGCACAACGTATTTTCTGAGTTCAATCGTCTAATAGAATGTGGGCGATAGAGTGGGTAATCAAAGAATTAACACTCAACCAACTTCCTATCACCTTCAGTCTCACCGCACCCATATCGACCCGCTCAGATCTGAAATGTGATTGGTCGTTTTTATTTCAACTCATTGTACATTGAACAAACTGAGCAGCAATTTACGATCTACATACTTGTCCTTTCAAGATTGAGGAAAAACAAAGACTCAATAAATAAATAAAAATAATGCAGAAAATGTTTTATTCATATTCGTTTGCCATATCATAAACATTTAATACGTCTGTTATAATATATGTACTAACCATTGTATTAGTTTGAATTTTTCGAAAATAAGTTATACCATTTATACTACTTAATATTGGTTTATCGATCATCTCATTTTTTTATTGTGAACAATGAATATACACATACAAAAAACATATTCTCTTTTTTTTCGATAGACTATAACAATATAAACTATAATACGTAACAAAATATAGGAAAAACAACAACAAAAAAGTGTGATTAAACATAATTATCTACCAATGTCCTCATTTTCTTCTTCTTCTTCTTCTTCTGTATATGTTTGTCGATCATAATTAATCAATCGTTTTGTTTTATAAAGATCAACTGTACTTTCATCTGATTGTTTTCCAAGTAATTTTGTTTCATCTTTATGTGTTTTATTCACAAGTATTGTTTTATCCAATAGATTCGATTTTTCAATAATTGTTTCAATTGTATCTATATTATTAATTAAATTATCCGGTGTTATCTCATCAATAACTAGCGAATGTTGAATATTTAATGGACCAATTTTTGAACGACGTACTGATTCTGATAGTGTACTTGTACGTAAACGTATACCAATATCAAGAATAACTTCTTTTAAATGAATTTCTTTTTCATTGATTACATGCATTTCTAATTTCAAAAAAAAAAACAAAGAAATGTAAAATATTTCTTTACCAAATTTATATTTATACCAATATCAAAAAAAGGTGCTTTGAAATTTAATAATTTAAGACCATAAACTATGGGTGGTAATGTATGATCACGAGGTTTCCATAAACCACCTTTAGCTAATTCAAAACCAGTTTGAGTAAATGGACTAATACCTGACATTCTAATTATTTGTTAAAATTATATAGAAAAACAATTAAGAAAAATAAGTAACATACTTGTACATTGATGTCTGAAAACTACTTTGAATAAGAGCACAAACACGTTCAATCTTTGATCGAGATACATGTTCTAAATGAAAAACAAAACAATTTCCCAATCCAATTTATTTAAAAATATTTAAATCTGCATAGAATAACTATATTTTTACAAGATTCTAGTTTATAGTGACATTTCATCGAAGTGGGCGTGAGCATGAATAAAAAAATGATCATAACGCCCATATTCACACCCTCATATATATGTAGCGAATACGTATGAATAATTTCTTCAAAACAATTTAACGCTTTTCTAGTTTTGATTTTAAGAATGATATTAATATAATACAAACTGTAAGTGCTTTTTTCGACAATAACACCATTAGCATCGAGTGTATCTGTTGATTCACCCATTTTTCCTTGAATATGATAACACTAATATTATTGAAAAAACAAAGATGAATGATAATTCTTTAATAAATGAATTTACTCTTAAAGGTTGTCCATCTTTAATTTGTTCAAGACGTTTTGATTCATCATTAATACTAACAACTTATAATATTAAAAAGAAAAAGAATAAAAAGTAAAACTAATAAAACTAATATATAAATATATATATATTCATAAATTATTTTACTCTGTAATCCAGATGAAAAAGATTCTAATGGAAAAATTGTTTGAATATCAAAATCTTCTGGTTGATATCGTGGACCTAATGCTAAAATAATCGAAAAAAAACACAAATTTTTCTTTTCTAAATAATAGATATATATTTCAACCTTGTACTGTATCCGATAGATCAACAGATGTAACAACAATTTCTTTTCCTGTTTGATAATCACGTTTAATATCAACACGATGCATTGGTTCTCGACAAGATAATTGATTAAATACTAGACAATATTATCTCATTTATTTTCCATCATATTCAAATTAAATACCTGATGCTAATCTTTCTTGTATAATAATACAAAAATGTTGCATTTGCATGTCAGCTGGTTTATATAGACATGCAATACCACTCAATTTATCATATAACAATTCAGCGGATGATCGAAACATTTCTTCAAAAAAGTATAAATATTAAATATATTTTCACACACACTTTTTCGTTTCAAGATATATATATATATATGTTTAATAAGTCAAAAGAAAGAAAAAATAAATTTTTACAAGTACAAAATAGAGCATTTCTCGACTCATATTTGAACTTCCAGAAGAAGAAAAAAAAAGAGGTTATTTGAAAAATGAAGGACAAAATATCACACAGGAACAGAAAAAGTCATGCATTCGCTGTTCTATTGACCTACATGCAAGCGCAAGGTTATTAAATTTAAACTAGGAACGGAAAAATAAAGTATGATATAATAAATATACAATATGAGATATAATACAAAAGAGGAGGAGAAAAAAAAATATTTCTATGTACACATAATAATAGAAAAATAAATAACTATGTTATTATATTCTATTGTTGTATTTGTGGAAGGACTTTAATTACACGGCCACTACCTTTGGTTTGTTGACCAGATCGAAATATCAATCGTGATCCTTCAAGAACATATTCACATCGATTTCGAAATCGAAATGTAACTATTGCTTGAGTATTGGCATGTAATTCTTCCTACAAAAGAGAGAAATAAATTTTTTCTTTAATTTAGATTTAGATTTTCATACTTTATCCATTTCAATAATTAATGCTGTTTGACGAATATTTTCTATCTGTACAGTTGTTTCAAAACCTTTACGTATTGGTGTATTAGTATGATGCATTGATAGATATATTTCCGCAATAAATTCTACACATGCTTCAGGATTTGATGTTGTTGGAACAAGTACCATACCCTAATTTATATATAGATATATTTATTTTACTTAAAAATATTATGATAATTTACTTTGCGTAATCGACTGCCTCCTATATGAAGTAAACTAAGTGAAGCAGCTTGTCCAGCATAAACTACTCTTCGTGGGACTCTATATCGATGAATAGTCGTTATTTTAGCTGGTAAAAATGTACCGTCTAATAGAGGACCAACCAAATAACTTTCTCCTGCTTTTATCAAACCACTAAAAATAATAAGTAAATATAGATTATTTTCAAAATATTTCTATTTATACCTTTTTAATGTTCCACCAACAACAGCAGCACCAGATGCATTATTCATATAAATTTCATCAATCTATTAACAAAATATTTTTACATATATATATATATACGATCAATAAAAAAACATACTCGATATTCTACTGGTAATAATGAAAGTCTTTCTTGATCTTTACTTGTCATACGAGGGGGAAGAATATTAAGAAATTTTTTTAATAAATCAATATTTTCACCGGTAACACAAGATACAGCAAATATAGGACATATACTTTTTTCAATAAACATATCAGCTGCTTTAACCAGATCTTCTTCTTTTTGAACAACAAACGGTTGAAGTTGAGTTGAACCATGTCCTTGTTTTAATAAATATGTTAAACAAGTTATTGTTTGTTGTATACTGGTTTTTGAACATAAATCTATTTTATTAATTACAACAAAAACAGGTACATCTAATGTTCTTGCATATGAATAATGTTCACGTGTTGTATCAACTAAATAAAATTTTACAAAAAAATTATTGTTTTTTTTTAAATATAAAACATACCAACACTTGATGGTGCATCAACACATAACATTGCAAAATCAGCTGCATGAGCTGCAAGACCAAATAATGTTGTTTTCATATATTTTGTATGACCAGCAAGATCAATAAAGGTTATAACTGAAGAAGAAAAAAACAGTTTAAATAGAATTATTAAAAATAAATTAGACCAAATACTTTTAGTAGATCGATTACAAATTTCATTTGCTGTTCGACAACAACCGTAATCAATACTCTTTAAAATAAAATAAAATAATGTTTTTTTCTTTTTCTTTTTCAAAACTACATACTTCTCCTAAATCATTAAATCCAAGAATTTCATGTGTTATAGACGATGTTCTTCCTGTTTGAATTTCATGTAAATGTCTAAATAAATTAAGTCTTGCTCGTCCACGTCCATTATCAAGTTCATTATGTGTACAAACACCAACAAGGGAACTTTTTCCACTATCAACTGTACCCAATACAGCAACACGTAAATCAATAAAATGTTGATCATCAGGCACTTTTCTTACAAGAACTTCAACAATATGTCTTTCATTTTCTAATTTACGTTCATAAAGTATTGTTATTGATGCACCTAATCTATCTGCCATTTTTTTTAATGTTGTTAATGATGCTTCTAATTCTTCACTACTAACACCACTTAATGTACCGCAATCTTCAACACCTATTTCATATAAAGCTTCGCCTTGTCCTTCTTGTAAACGCCAATTCATTTGTGTTATTAAATGTTCAAGTCGAAATGGATTTGGATCAATTAATTTAAGTTTATATTCAATATTACCTTCTTGAGGCTAGAATTAATTTTACAAAAACAAAAATTAAATTAAAATCCTAGAATTTTATTAACTAACCTCTGGAGGTAATCCAGTAAGAACAAATGGTGAACGAGGTACTTGTTCATTATCATCATCATCATCATCTGCTGTACCAAAGAGACTTGTTACATGTTGATTCATCTATATTTTAATATATAATAACATTTTTTTTCTTCTTTTTTTAATTAAACTTACATGATTATAATTCATTCCTGATCGTCGATCATTCATCGATATAGGGTCCTGATTAGACATCTAAAAAAAAATAATTCTTTATAATTTCATATGAAATAAACTAGAAATCTGTAAATGTCTTTATAGAAGAAAAAAAGATGATGAAGTTTGACGCTGTCCTCATCACCGAAATCGTATGATATTTCTCACTACTAAATATGATTACGAAATGTCACGTCCTAATTTCTCTCTGTTTACCTGTGAAAAAGACGACACTATTAACATATATGATGATGACATGCATACATATTATCAAGATGAATCTTAGCTATTACATTGAATTGCATCATACTCTATATATATGTTAACCATTAAAAAACATTTCTTTCTCCTTTCAAAATCAACATATGTTTGAAAAAAAAAAAGAAAAAAAAAAGAAAGGAAAGAAAAAAAACAACACAAAACTAATATAATATATATCTTTTTATGGATCTTCACGTATAATTCGTCGGTCACGTTTCATCATTTCAGTATTTTGTCTTGTATATCGATCAAATGTTGTACGCATAACACCTGACATTTGATTATAATCAGCAAAACGACGCCACATTATACGTCCTAAACGATATTGTTCAAGAACACCCCATTGACGAGATCTAAACATTTTATAAAGAAAATATTTTTTATTATTTCTATTAAAATAATATTTACGTTAATGCACATCGATTCCATCTCCACCATGGTTGAGTTTCATTTGTAAACGTTGAAAATTCTTCTTCTCGACAATAATTCTACAGTAAATAAAATCGAACAAAAAAACAAAAAACAAAAATAAACTTTATTCTTACCTTGAATGAATCTGGAAACATCATATTTTTACGTAATAATTGATATCGAAATCGTTGTGGCCAATATTTTCGAATAAGTGTACGTCGTTTTATATCTCTTAACATCATTCGACCAGGATAACCAACGAGTTTAGTACGTGCTGGTTGTTCTGTATTAATAGCACCAGCAATAGGTGTCAAAAGTGGTAGCTATTCAATAAATGAGATCTTTAATGATTAGAAAAAGCTTGAACCCTAGATTTTTTTGTTAATAATATTTAGATAAACATCTACCTGAGGTGTAAACATATTCAGTCGGAGACTTCGTTGTAGTTGGCAAAGTAAAAACGACATCTGAAAGAATAAATAATTGACGAAAAAAAACAAACTACATATTTTATTCTCATGCACCATTATATTTTTATTTAAAATATTAAAACTGAATATATAACATTCACCGTGAAAATTTATATATATATATACTATTATAGAAAAAATTACTAAATAAGAAGAAACAATAAAAAAGCCATTGCATTCTTAGATTAATTATATGACATTAGCAAATAAAGCCACCATGGGTCCACTTAATTGTATACTTTGTATACGTTGAAAACCGATTTGAATTAATAATTGTTTATATTCATATTCTGTTGCATCATAACCAATACCATCACCACATTCAATTGCCATTGATATACTAGTACATAATGATGTTGAATTTAAACGATCTTTATCAATCATTTTTTCAATAATTAATAATGTACCATTTCCACCATTATTTTCTATTTTAGTTTTTAATAATTTATAAAATTTTTCAATTAAAAATTTTCGTTGTTTATATGACCAATCATGAAGAATATATTTAACTGAAATAAGATCAATCAATAAACTTTTTTCAATAATTTCATTTGGCCATTTATCTTCAAAAAAATTACCAGCTATATAATGAACATTGGAATGATCCGTAATTAATGATGATGCATAAGAAGTAAGTTCAGGTAAATCAAAACTAAATGCATTGATATGTGGATATCGTTTAACAATTGTTCGACTAAGATCACCTAATGAACCACCAATATCAAGTAATGTTGAATAGGATGACAAATCAACATGATCACATAATTCATTGATTGTACAACGAGTAAATGATGACATTATTCGTGCAAAATATATCATTGGATCATGTTTTTGTTCAAATATTGTCCAAAGACATATTTGTTCATTACTTTCTTCACTTGTTCTTATACCATATCGTAATGTTTCATTTAAACGAAGAATAAATGTATATAAACGACGATGATCCCAAACTCCAATACCGAAACCAACATAATTTTCACGAGAAGAAACAAGATATGTACGTGTGACTGATGTACATTCATAATTATTTGAATTTGAACAACGTTTCAATAAACGTAAATAAACAAGATAGGATAACATTGTTAATGAGATTTGATATTTTTTTAATTCTTCATAGGATAATGAACTTGTCGGAGATTCTTCAATTATAGTAAATAGATCAAGTCGAATAGCCGTAAAAAGTACTTGAGAACGTGCAAATGAACATAATGTATGTTTTAATAAAGTATCAAATGTTAGTATCGATTGATTAGTATTATCATCATCACTAAATGATGATATATACATCTAAAATAAAATATCTTAGTAGAAAATTATGTGCATATATATATATACAACGACTCGAATATACATATAGACTATTTATTTTTTTTCTTCTTCTTCAAGGGAACAGAAAAAGAATATGATCATATGATTAGTCGATAAAAATAACGTCGCCAACAGACTTCGGTTAAGGTGTCGCTAGATCATACGTCGTTGAAATTTCGGTAGACTTTCTAAAAATCGACCTAATAATGTTTTCTTATTTGTTTCTATTATTGATTCATTCGTATTTGATAATGAAGTAAACTAGAATAACACAAAACAAAACTTAATTATTTTCTATTTGATTTTAATTAATGATAATTTACATGTTTATATTTAAGACTAATACGTGGTAACAGTATATCTAATTTTTCATCATAAATAACATGTTTTAGCAAATCAGGTAAATCATTTGATAGAATAAATTCATCATGATATGTATGATGTGGACTTCGAAGAGCAAGAATTTTTGTTTCTGATATATTCTATATAAAAAAAATTGTTATTGATGAAATTCTTGATGTACTTACTAAAATTTTAAGACCACATTGACCAAGTTCAATTTGAATAAAACATGGACCTGTATAAATTAAGGATGAAATCATATTTTGTAATTGACCTTGTATAAGAATAAGTTCATGTGATGAATAAATTATATTATGTTCAATTATATATGATTCAGGTATAAGAAATGCACGTTTTAAATGCCCATAAATATGAATACGTTCTTGTTCTGTTGCATGATTTGGCTATAAAAAAAAACAATTCTCATTTTCTATATGACGATTTTCAATATTTAATACCAATGTATTTAAATATTCATATAAAATAAATTCAGCTAGTTGTATTGCTGTATAATGCCAAATCTTTTCTAATATTCGTAAATGATTAAATCGTTCAATAAGATCAATTAAATCATTCGATTTTAAATACCAAACCTGAGATTTTGTTTATGAATATAAAATTTATTTTTATGATTTCCTTTTTATCTTACGAGTGTATTCGTTATACATTTGCATGTTTCTGTATATTTTTGTCCATTAAGTAAATCAATATGACCTAGAATATCACCTGGTGCATGTAATAAACGATAGAAACTTTCATTTTCATCCGAATATTTTTCTATTGATAAAGCATCATGATATTTTGATGTATTTCTTACGATCTCAACATAACCTGCAGTTATAAAAAATAATGCTTGAGTATCATTATTTATTTTATAAATGTATTCATTTAAGGAAAATAATTTAACATGAAGACGACTTAATACGTATTCAAGTACATCTGGATCATGAAGCCATGGAAATATATGTAAAAGATTTAACTAGAATCAAATAAAAATATTGTGTTCTTTTGAATAAAACTCACTGGAATAGGAAAAACTGAAACAGGTGGAACAAGTTCTGTATGAAGTCGTTTATTAATATCCTAAATACAAAATAAAAATTATCAAAGCTTCATTCTAATTGAAATTCACCTCTGTAATTTGATGTGATTCATTTTCTCCTAATAATCCTTTACTTGTCATATGATGAATCTAAATGTTAAGAATAAATAAGAAAAAAAGTATTCAATTTATTAATGACCATATTTTTAGAATAATTAAGTAATATTTGAATAGCTGCACTTGTTTTAACACTAGCTGATACATTTGGGTGTTCACTTTGAATACAAGCTATAGAAGAAGAATATTAAAGTTAAGAAATTAACTTTGAATTTTTTACTTAATTCATTAATAATTTCATCACGTCGTTTTATTGAATCTGTAAAAAAATGATTTCGAATTTGATCAATTTCAATAATACGATATAATTTTGAAAGTACATCATCTTCACTTATAATATATGCTTTACATAATTCAAGTGAAAGTGTAACATAACGATTAGCTATACGTTCAAGAAGAATATTTAAATTAGCTGTTATATACTAGAGAAGAAAAATTCAATTATTCTTTTTTTTTTTGTAGATTAAACATTTCTTACTTCAATCATTCGACTAAAACGAAATATTTGTATAATAATAATAATAATCTGTATTATAGACCATATTCGATGAGAAATCAATGTAGAGTATAGCAGATAATAATATTCAAATATATATTCTCCTATTATTAATATCAAAAGAATAAATTCAATTCGATAATCAATCCAGGTACGAAAATATATTCGGGTACCATATGTATAAATCTACATTGAAAGAAATATATGTTTTCAAAACAATAGTTATAAAAAAAAGACCAACTTTAATTATAAATTCTAATATATAAATAATAATAAATGTACTTTTTAGAATAGTTAGAATAAGATTTATTTTATTCGATATGTTTACTATAGATCGAATAATCGCTAATGTAACATTAAGAATAATAATAAATGTAATAAACCAATTAAATCGTTTATGTTTAAGAATATTATAATAAAATAAACGCCATTTATTTTCGGGTACTTTATGATATTTTCGCCAATCATTACGAACACAAGTATGAATTTTTTTGACTAATTTTTCCTTTAAATATAAAAGATGATCGAAATTTGGGAAAATACGATTTTATCGTTTTCTTACTAAATATTTCCATATAAAATCAAATGTTCTTGGTCTATAATAATATTTTAATTGATCAATACTAATGTATTGATCTTTTCGATCAATGGCAAAATCACAAAGTGAAGATAGAATCCGAACAGCTTGTGTTGAAATTTCATAATCTCTATATTGTCTCCAGAAACTTGTTTTTTGAATATTAAGAATACGAATTCGAGCTTCTTCATATAAATCTTTATATTGTATTTGTTGAGAATTTGAATTGTTTATATGAGGATTTTCAATATAAAAATTTCTTTCAATAAAATTCCAATCAGCATTAGCTAAATATTTATTTTTTTTTAATAATCGAATTTTTTCTTGTACAAGTGCATATAATGAATCTACACATTGTGTCATATAAAGATATTTTGTTTGAGACATTGTTGTGAAATCTTAGAGAAAAAAAATTGTACAAAAAAAAAGTTAATTTATAGAATTACTTAATATTTTAAGTAAAAGTGAATAAGTTGAATTAATACAACTTGAGAGAAAGACAATAATAATTGTATGTATTAAAATTTGATACTAAAAATAATTTATTATTCTAATGAAAACAAACAAAGTTCGTGTTTACTTGAAATTTTGATGGATTTTCAGTTAGTCGAAATTCTCCTACAAGTGCTAATGCAAGAATTAAACATACAGATCCTTTAAAACCACCCCAAGTAATTAATAAACATTCTTTCCATGATAAATGATAGAACCGACCTAATTTAGTACATAATGTTAAAATAATTATAATAATAATTCTATAATAAATAATAGAGGATATTTGATTTTTTAAATTATTTATCAATAGACCTGAAAAAATAACATAGTAAATAATTGATAACTAAAAAACGAATAAGAATTGATGATGAATAAAATCTATTGTATAATTTTTACTAGCTAATCCTATTTCAAATAAAATCGTATTGTATTCCAAAGAATTTTGTGCATTTGGTTTAATTAATTCAACAACTGTCTAGTCAAAAATATTCATATTTTAGTTTGTTTCAATGATAAATTATTTACTAATGCTGCAAGAAGATAAATAATTGTATTAGCAATTAATGCTAACATATCCCAAAATCTATCATAAAAATGTTTTTTTTAGAAAATGATGTAATAACAAACTTTTCCATGAAAATAGTAGCTTCTGAACTAATAGCAGTTTTATAATTTGATAGTAGAAGACCAAGAATGACAATAGCAACAGCACCTGAACAATAGACTTGTTCACCTATGATAATATATAATTTTTGAAAATCATATTTCATATCAATTACTTACATAACCAATAGAGCATATAAGGAATAGCAATAGTAATCGTAACTTCACTTATGGGATCATCATAAAAATAAGGTAAACTAATAATTTCTAATAGACCAGCAATACAACCAAGTCCAATACCTCCTACTAATGCTATTGCTGTTGTTTTGAAAAACTCTACCTTACTATGCGAAGTTTGATCATTTACAACAAAACTTTTTATACTATTAAATAAAATAATTGCTAAACTATTATTAATCACAGCTTCGCCTTCGAGTATAATACTCAATCGTTTTGTTTTTCCATAATCTATATAATTCATATTATATGAATATATATTTTATAAGAAAATAAACCTGCTTCACGTATAAGTGTTACAGGTCGTGTAGTACTAACAATAATACCCATTATTAAACATTGAACAAAAGTCCATTGTTGAAAAATAAAAAGATATTTATACATTATAGAAATACTAAATAATGATAGAACATAGCCAATAATTGAAATGAATAGAATAGAATAGAGTGATTTCATAAATGCATGATATTCAGTACGATAAGCTGATTCAAAAATGAGTGTTGGTAGAAAAATAGCAACAAGTAAATCAGGTGATGTTGTTGTTGTTATTGTAACAAATGTATCATCTTTACTGAAAATATTAAATAGGATACCACCTATAAAACCAAGAAATATAATAAGACTTGTATATGGAATACGTAAGGAAGAAAACATTGTTTTGAATAGACCTTTACATTTAATAAGAATATATAAACAATATTAATATAAGAGAAGAAAAAGTTACATACAACCAATAAATAGAATAAAAAAGAGAAACATAAGCATGTATGGTGCATGATGTTCATCTTCATCATCATCATCTGCTGCATGTATATTTGATTTATTACATAAATAAGACTTTATTTTCATATCCATTGAATTCTAATTAGATACTGATCGATTGATGTTATTTATATAACCCTTGACTCATATGATCTAATTAAATCTTAAACATATTTTTGATGATTCATAGGTTATATCTATTTACTCTTATAACGTCAATTTTTTTGATTCTTTTTAAAATCTCATTGTTGAAAACAAGCTTATAGCAATAACATCAATCGATTCCCTGTTGTTTTTATATTTGATGATTAATAATGAAAGTTCACAGGAGAAAAGAAAAACTGTCGAAAAAAAAACACAAATATACACCTTTAATGCGCGTTTGTCTGTAATACTTTCAAAAGAGAAAAGAACGAAAAAAATCATATGATTTAAATCTAAAAGAAGCTTGTGATTTTGTCATCAATAAGATGAAATTCTTGTGCATGATAATATTACTTATAATTGTTCGATCAACTCATCAAGAACTGTATTCATGTGATGAAACTGCTGTTTGTGGATGTTCATCTAATTTTGCTTTGGTTAATCGTATTGTTGGTGGAGAACAAGCTGGTACAGCAACTTGGAGTTGGACTGTATCACTTGCTATTGCAAATTCTCGTCTATGCGGGGGATCAATAATATCAAGTTCATGGATTATCACAGCAGCACATTGTGTATATGATCTTTTACAATCACCCATTACTGTTTATGCAGGTTCGACTATTCGATGGTCTGGTACACAAACTCGAATGGTATCACAAATAATTGTACACCCTGGTTTCAATGCTGACACTTTTGTTAATGATATATCTCTTTTACAACTTGATTCTCCACTTAATATGAGTGATTCTAATGTTAGTACAATTTGTATGCCTCTTGTTAGTTCATCAACTTTGGAATCTGGTGAATGGCCACCATCGAATACATCTGTCAGTTTGTTTTTTTTCTCTTTTAAATTTATGATTCTTTTCTATTACTAGGTGATAACAGTTGGATGGGGTAGACTATCGGATGGAGGTACATTACCAACAAATCTTCAACAAGTTACATTGGAAACAATTGATTATCGTGATCCAACATGTAGTGTATTACTCACTGATGAGAAACTACAATTATGTGCTAGTGTTCCGGGTGGTATTAAAGGTTCATTTTCTATTATTTTACTTGATCTTTATTTTATTATTTTTATTTTCATAGATTCTTGTCAAGGCGATTCAGGTGGACCATTGATGATGTTTTCGCCCAGTAATCAATGGATATTAGTAGGTTTGACTAGCAGTGGTCATGGATGTGCCACACCAACCTATTCAGGTATTTATACTCGTATAGTTGCATATAAAGATTGGATTCAAGCATATACAGATGAATCTTATTGGATTGATGTCAATCATGGAAACTCTAATTCAATATCGAAAATTTGCTTTATTTCCATTGTAACACTCATCTTTTTTAAAATATTCCATCAATAAATGATGTGATCTATTTTTTTGTCCATAATTTTAAATTTACTTCAATATTAAACCTGACAGATAAAATCTATCGATTTATCTTATACACATTATATGTAAGAAAAAACAAACTTTTGATGAATTTTCAAAGCACCGAAAATTAACTTTCATTTTGTTTCATAAAAATCTATGTTTTACGTTGGTCCACCATTAATGTATTATTTAAAAAGGCGGGTGTAGGTGTGAATAAAATTCAACCACATCCACACCCACCCTCATCCACATCCATCATCCCACACCCTCTTTCACTGTTTCTTGTTGATCCAAATATTTACCTATACGTGATATACGTCATAAATCATTGAAATTATAATGACAACGCATAAGATAAGAAATATTTCTATATTTACCAGAATATTTTCTCACCGGATATCTTCACTGTTAATATAATATTAGATAATGATCGATGATGTAGAATATTGATGGAGAAGAGACATCTACACTTGCATCCTCAAATAATTATAATACAATAAAGATTACCAAAAGCAGTGAAAAAGATCCCATCATTACAAAGAATAGAATGTGTTATAATAGGTGATAATGATAAACTCTTATCATCTATCCTTTTTTATGTTGGAAAATGTGTAAGACATTCGTTATCTGTGTCAATAAATACATTTACATAAAAAAACAGCTTTCTTTTTTTCATTGCTTGTACGTAATAAACAGATCATCATTGCTTGATTTTTGTGAAGAAATATAATAAACAAACGCTGATTTTAAGTTTTAATATTTCTAACGTTCATTGATATCATCAATTTTTCACTTATTCTTATTTAGAATACATAACATCTGCCGAACAATCATGAGTTTGGAATTATTATCTAATGAATTGTTCCTTTATCTACCTGAATATATCGGCGAAGTTGATAGTTTTTATGGTTTCTAAGGTCTTAACTATTGTTTTAATTGTCTAATTTTAGCATGTAGGCAAAGTATACATCTTGACTTTCGCTCTATATCTAAGGGTGTAGGTATAAATGTGAACGTGGATGTATCTTAATTTACTCATATCCATACCCTCAAGATTTTGAATCAAGCTTGCTTTTACTAGTTTTTCTTTTTCTGTTCATTTTATTTTTCATTTTTAAAAAAACTCTTTTTTTAGAAATGGAGAGCTCTGAACAGTGTTTTTAATTTTTAGATAAGTGCACAAAACCTGTTGGCGAAGCAAACATCTTCATTTATTTTTAAGTAGAAATCTATTAAACAGATATATTATATGGCACGAAAGACTGGTTGGTAAAAAGCAAAAGTTGAAATCACCAGATTAATTCATATCTTAGATATATAAATTAATCTATTTTCTATGAATTGCATTTGTTTTTTTTCGACGCATTTTCTTTTTTTCTTTTTCTTTTTTTCTTTTTCTTTTTCTTTGTTAGATAAAGCGAAGATATCAACTATACTACTCTACGACGAACACTCCACGTTAGAAACCATGCGTTGTTTTTTCTTGGCTGACAGGAAGAGAAAAAGAAGAAGACGGCATTCTCATGGATTGCATATTTTTTTTTGATACATTTTCTTTTTTTTCTTTTTCTTCGTTAGATGAAGCGAAGACATCAACTATAGTACTCTACGGCGAACACTCCACGTTAGAAAGCTTGCATTATTTTTTCTCGGCTGACAGAAAGAAAAAAATGATAGAAAAAGCAGACGACGACATTCTCGTGGAGTACATATAATTGTCCAGATTTTCTCGTTGACAAAAAGTTCGTCGATACGGTGAGTCGTTGACAATTACTCTATCATACGTCATAACTAGTGGCCCAGAGAAAAAGAGCCAAGTTTTGTTTTTTAAAATTTCTCTATTTACTTTCTACTTTTTCTTTCAACATTGTCAGCGGAACATGTGCCGTCAAATCCTCTACAAAATGGTACATTGTACTCTCTGTCAGTAATTCTCATTACTTTTCGTAAATTAATTGAATTATTGTAATTAATTGTGGTCACTTTCTGAAACCGTCTACAATTCAACTGTGTTACCGAGTATTTTACTCCTTCATAAAACGTTCACTCTGTCGTACTGTCATACTAATTCACTTCACTGCTGTTTTTAAGACGAAGTAGCTGAAAGAAATGGTTAAAAATAGAACAGGATGAAGCTGATGGGAAATGAAGAAGTAAAATACTTGGTAATACAGTTGAATTGTAGACGGTTTCAGAAAGTGACCACAATTAATTACAATAATTCAATTAATTTACGAAAAGTAATGAGAATTGCTGACAGAGAGTACAATGTACCATTTTGTAGAGGATTTGACGACACATGTTCCACTGACAATGTTGAAAGAAAAAGTAGACAGTAAATGGAGAAATTTTAAAAACAAAACTTGGCTCTTTTTCTCTGGACCACTAGTTATGTGAGCTCCTGTATAATTAGCAGAAATTCAGCTGATTGATACTCGGTTCGCAGAAAGATCATTAACTAGAAATATAGCTATGATGAAGACACATTGGAAATAGAACAGATGTAAAGTTTGCGCCCTTGAATGAAAACATTCTTGTGCGAATTGGATCACTTCATTATTTGTAGTTGTAATTAGGGGTGAGAATTCTTTGTTATTGTTATAAATAACAATAACTTTTTTTGTTATTTGTTATAAATAACAGATAAATAACAAATAACTTTCATTTTTGAAAAATATCTTTTCTCACCCCATTGTATATTTTAATTGTGTCCGTTATGTAAACTTACATTTTGGAACGAATTTTCTATATCTCTACTACTGATTTAGATGGTTCAATCAAGATATGAAGCTAGCAGAATTTTCAGAAAAAAAAGTTATTGTTATTTACCTGTTATTTATAACAAATAACTATCATAAAAAAGTTATTGTTATAAATAACAATAACAAAAAAAGTTATTGTTATTTATAACAAATAACAAAAAAGGTTATTGTTATTTATAACAAATAACTATTAGGTTGACCAAAAACTTCTGCAATACTTTCGACCTTCAACCTTTCCGAAAGTGTTGCAGAACTTTTTGGCCAACTTAGTAAAATTGTTATTGTTATTTATAACAACGAGATAACAATAACTTCTCACCCCTAGTTGTAATATAATTATCGCGTAAAAAACTAAACAACTGTTTGTAGACTTTCTTCATTCATCTCTACATTATGAATACTGATCCTTTTACTCTCGTATATAGTATTTCGGAAAAAAGCAAATTTGTGATCCAATTCCATGGATACATTTACACATTAGCAAAGGATCTGCGCAAGAGTGTGAGGTCGGGAACGAGTGTGTTTGTTGGTAACGACTCATATCCAGACCGATATCCTCACCAGTTCCGCACATTTTCTCCCAATTACATACATTCACTCACTTTCAATAAACATGATTATTTTTCTAAAACTTGACAATGAAATATCGATCGACAAATGTCTTGTCGACAAAATAGTCGTTTGAGAAAAGTTGTCAACGAACAACATCACTGCCATTCTCGTATATAGTATTCCGCATGTCTGCTTCTAACTATCCAACGACCCTCGTGCGCTCTGCAGATCCATAATCGATGTTGATCTTATTGCTAGATTTGTGCTTGTAGATTGTGGCATTTGTCACCTCACATCATGTTCCATTGTTTTTCGAAAAAAGCACCTGACTCTGATCCTAAACAGCACGTGTGCGGTACCATAGAGAATGGTATGATTAGAATATCACAACGCTTCCATGGTCTCGGACGATTGGGAGAAGTTCTGCACTTGCAAGGACCGTACATCTCTCTCGAACAATTGAACCGAGCTGTTGTTCGTCTGCAGCGTCGCCATCCTGTCTTACGAAGCCGTCTTCAAATTCATCCGACTAAACGCGACTGGTTTATGCTTGAAGAAGACGAAACACTTCGACTGCCTGTGGAAGAACTAGCGCGCAAGCGTGAGGAACGCGATAGTTTTTGGCTGCAGGAATGGCCCAAGAGAGAAAATGAACCGATCAACATCGGTGAACCATTGGTGAAACTGTGGCTGCTGCAGGTAAGAGTCTGATCACGCGAGATTGGAGGAAATGCGGCATATGAAACTTCTTTTAGGATCCGGAAGATGAAGAGGACGCGAATGGATTTCGCGAGGTGGTAATCATGTGTGAACATGCCATTTGTGATGCTCAGTGTTTGAGTAACGCTGCTCACGAACTACTGCAGATTCTCTCTGACGAGACCGGGCATGCATGCGAGCAATCATTGCTCTGGCCGGTGACGATAGAAAATGCTATTCGGAACAGTCTATCGGTCGTGAACCGAATATCCGTGGTGAGTCGATTCCTTTTCTCTGCAATCTACATACATATGAAGAACAGATTACCGACTGCAAGGGTACCCTTTGACGAAATCAACTTTAATATTAATGAGATGGACAAAAACTGTCATTCGGAAATTACTTATGGCGTGTTGAACAAAGAAATGACGACGAAGTTACTCGCTAGATGTCGTCAGGAGGGAGTAACGGTGACGCCAGCTGTGATCAGCGCTGTGTTATCGGCTACAGCTAGTTTGGTACCAGTCAAAGATGGTCAAGATACGATCATGAATATTGCGCTGAGTGCCGACGCTCGACGACGTTACGTATCACCAGTTCCTAATCACGATATGGCTTACCACGCTTCTGGTATTGCACCATTTGGTCTGCATGTGAGCGCTGCCCCCAAGACGCCCAAAGATTTGTGGCAGTTAGCACGAATCTATGCTCAACATATGAATGCGTGCGTCAACGCAGGTCAAATACTCGCGAGTCCTTTGATCGCAGGGAAGGCCTTAGGAAAGTTGATGGGGCCTGTCAAGATGGCTTATATACCAACATATTTCATGTCCAGTTGGGGCGTGCTGCCATTCGTTGAACAGTATGGCCCGTGGCAGCTCACCGCCATGACTCCGTGCTTTAATGCTCGTCGATGGCCAGCACCTAGCACTATGGTCCAGACGGTGAATGGTGTTTTGACGATGACGTTCATCGGTGCCTGTCCTGTCATACCTGTGAGTGTCTTAATCGCTTTGCGCGATCGATGCATGGACGAATTACAACAAATGATAGTCAATTAGATTACATTATCGGTATGATCGATGCCGAGCAGACCATCTTGACAAAATCTCCAACGCTTTACAGAACCGCTTGCTTTTCTTCGTTTATCGACATGTATTTGACTATTTGATAGAGATACGGAAAAACAAGACAGTTATAATGACGGCTGTGTCAGGAGTTATTCCTTTTTCGTATCACTATCAATTAGTCAACTTCGTTCATACACATATTCATTCTTTTTTGTCACTTCGCTTTATTTTGTTTGACGAAAAATTCTTACGTGGTATGAAACGCCACATTTAGATATGTTAATATAATCTTCTTCTTCTATATCTATATATATAAAGAAGAAACTACCTACAACTATTTTCATTCAATTAATTCAAATGTCAAGATATATATAATTTCAAACAGTGATACAATTCTTATAGTTAGTTTGTAAGAAGAGTTCTTAAATCTTAACAGCCTTTTTGAGGATCGTATCATGGAGAACGGTCTGCACTAAAAGCTAGCTTGGCATTAAAGGTGCCTTCACAGTAAAAGACATTGTTCAATGGAATTGTTCAAACAATAGGAGATTGCATCGTAGCAAGTGTTGGTTATGAAATCTTTTTTCTCATTCTTTAAGTACAGATTTTTACGAAACTGCTTTTTGTATAGTTTTCGAAATAGTGTGATGCAAAACCTTATTTGTTTTCAGTGTATGCATATATAATTATAAGCACCAAATAACGATCAGAAGCAAAAGGAAATACATGATATATTCGAACGATATCATTAAAACAAAAATATTGACTCATAGTTGATAAAAACAAAACTAAATCTAATTAAAGGATTACGTCATATAAATACACGCATTTGTTTTTTTCTCACATGAAGTGAAGAATCGAACGAAAAGACAAACCTGTAGTGTACTGTAATGAAAAACAAGCGTGTGCGAAAAATATTCACCTCCGTCTATCTCATCATGACGTGCCTGAAATAATACGGTTGACTAATTCACAAAAATAAATCTTACTTGGAAAAAACCAACCAGTATCATTGAATATAACTATGTAAGAGAAGTTGCTTCCGATATGACAAAATCAACTTCAATACATTAGTGTTAATCTTTATTGTAAGTATAAACAATAATCTATATATTGATATCTCTATGTAATGTGAAGCTTTAATAACTGCGATCAAGTTTTTTCTTATATCTACGTGAAATTGTTCTCAAAATAATACTTGATTAGTGAAGACATGATTTTAGAAGAGTAGATATAGACGACATAGGTTAGGTATCGAATTAAGGAACTAACGACAGCGATAAATGGTTGAAGTAGAACAAAACTAAGACAAGTACAAATATGGCAAGTAAAAGTATTATACTTGTACATCATGACACTGCCTGATCATAAACTAGATAATTATCAGAATATCCTAACAAGAATTTCAAGGCTAATACAATAATGAATTTACTGAAACTTAGTTGCAGTAATGACTTATTTTCATTAATCGATTTTTCAAAATTATTACAGACATCTAACTATAAGTATGCTCATTTAGTCTAGTTAGATATAGTTTTTCTTATAAACACTTTCAGATGTTTATAACAATTTTTCAAAACCAATCAATGAAAATGAGTCACATTTGCAACTAAGTTGCAGTGAATATATTAGAATATTCTGTTAGTTATTTTGTTTATAACTATTTAATATCATAGTAATTTTTAAAAGATTATTAGAGCTACTTTTTGTTACTTACACAATTTATTTCATTTATATTTTGAACATCAGTACAAGCACAATTAATTGCATTCAAGCTCTGAGATAGAGATAATAAGTGTATGGAGGTATAGGGAATCCGCTATAAGATTCACCAAATAAGAATTTAAATATGCAATTAAGGGTGACGGGTAGAAATAAGGATATGGAACATTATGCACAATCCTTTTCTAGTTTCATATAAAATCTTTCTTGTTTCTTATGTACAGTACATTCAATAAACATTATTTTATATTTGTAGTATAAAATAGAAACCAACGATACAAACCATCAAGAGACGATAGTTTGTTACGCATAAACAAAAATGAACGTCGTATGTACTTCTTGTGGTGGGCCGATTCCATCTTCACTAAACTACTATAAATGTCGTCAATGTGTTAATCATTTTGTTTGTCAATCATGTGAACCAATGGATCATAATCGAGCATGTGCTACTTTTCATACACTTGATAAGAAACTCGTATCAAATGTTCAACCGAAAACTGATGCTAATAATGTATCATCGAAAGGGTCTGATTCGCAGCAAAGCAAAACTGCAGTAAGTCTCATTACAGCAACAGATATTATCTTTTTGATACTTACCATATTAATTATTAACTGCAGACATCTTCAAAGCCTTCGTCAATATTTAATAGTGAAGAATATCTACACAATACGCTAGGTTATTGTGGACAATGTTCCCGTTTGGTCATTCTGGATCGAGAGATAACTTTTCAATGTAACCAATGTCCAAATGGTTTCGGTATCTGCGCTGAATGTTTGCCTTTGATGGACACACACCATCCTGCGGTGCACACATTTTCAAAACAGCCATTGAGTCATTACACAAACCTTACACATGATATATATCATCTTGATATCATATGCAATGGTTGTTCAAGAAATGGATTTAATGGAAAACGCTACCAATGTGAACAATGTCCGCCGAGCTATGATCTCTGTGAAAACTGTTTCGGAAAGGAACATACACATCATCACCTAAAATATATACAAAATCCTTTATTACATGCTGGTAATAAACAAGTACTGGGTCTGAGAACTGTGGCAGTAGCTAAGACAAATGGTGGAGACGATACAAATTGGCGCGATCCATTAACAGGTTGGACTAAATCTGATGCTGAACTAGTTATTCAACAAGCACAGCAAGGGATAGACAATTATAACAACCGATTACAACAAATACGAAAAATAAATGAGGAACGTAAAGAAGAAGAAAATCGACTTGCACGACAACGCCTTGCTGATGCAGAACGACGTTCAGAAGATGCAATTGCTGATGCGTGGCGTGTAGTATTACGGCCGAGCAGATTTACTTACTGACGGTGGCTAAGTAAAGATCAAATTCTGACAGTTTTATCGCCATAACCAAGAAATTGACATTCTCTTATTTCTATTAACTTTGCATTATAATTTCTATATTAATCCACTGTGGGATGATTATATAAGCATGTACTACTAACCTTTTGTTTTTCTGTAGAGTTTTTGGTATTAAAGCAATATGACAGTTCAATTCTCAGAAAAAAGATCATTGAAAAAAGAATCATCTTCAATCATAGTTAATAAATAACGTATCAGACAATTGTATTTTGTTCTAAAATAAACGTACTCCTAAAAACTCAATAAGGGTGTTTGTATTTATTACTATATGAAGCTTTCTAATAGTTTCCATATACAGATTTGTGAACTACGCGGAAATCTCTACAAAACGAATACCAATGTGAAATGTAGAACACTTAGTTCAGGTACCTTCTTCTCTGTTACCAAGCTTCAGACACCTATATAAGATTATGCATTTTGTGGACTATCAAAATACCATCACATCCACATTCTAAAGATATTTCGTCTTGTATAATTATAATTCTTTCAATGTATGGGTGTGTTGGGTGTTGTCTCTCTATCTCTATGCACACTCACTCCCACACTGTATTATAGCCCTTTTAAAGAATAGTTCTTATATGGGCCGATGCGGTATTGAATGCTCTTTCAACATATTTAAAATCTTATATGTTTCAGTTAGATACTCAGTAAATGCGAATATACTATGAACACACTAAGTACTCTCATTATTTGTACCTCAAAATGGCGTTCATTATCAAAAGTTTTGCTTGATTTTACTTTAAATAGACTTTCCTCATGTTTTTTAGAAAGTAATGCCGATAAATCGTTATCCGCCCGTCTCTTTTCAAAAGACATGATGCAGGAGATGACAGATTGCAATGTTATTAATTAAGATAAAGTTGCCAATATCTAGATTTCATCCTGTCTAAAAGGATCATTAGTTGACTTTAATCTCAATTTAGAATGTCTGTATGATTACAAAAAGAAAGAGTGAAACACTAGATATCCATACTTAATCTGTTACAGCTCTGGCACATATACAATAAATATTAAGAACACCATATAAAAGCATATGTAAAAATTAAATTTTATTAGTCTATTGATTTCCTATTCCTTGTTATATATTTAAAAATTTTTGTGGCTTCTAAAATACTAGTTCCTCTTTACATAGTTCTAAAGTATTGATAACCACACCGATGTTAAAGCTTCTGTTAGTTTTTCTACCTTTATATTTGACGTTTTTATGAAAAATTGTGCAAAAGATATAACTAACTTTGGCTTGTTCTTAGTTCATTTAAAATTAATTTTCAAAATTAGAAAAGTATTATATTTTAGTTATTTATCTTTAAAGACTAATTGAAATAAGTAAACAAAATTGTTCAAGTAAATAAACGAATAAAAGATATGAACATCAACATGAGCAAAAACCATCAATAAGTTCTTTTTTATCATGTAATAGAATATTGTGATAGTTTTTCACAGCTTGGCGATGTAGTTTACAAAAGTGTTGTTATCTGCGTCTGATCTTCTGTTCTGAGCGATACATCTATCTGTTGTTGTTGTTTCCGTAGATATCTCGATCGTATTCTCGATATGATAAGTACCGTTCCGCAAATGAAGAAAGCCAATGCTCCAGTTAAATAACCATAGGCTCTCTGTTTTTTTGGTTCAGTCCATTGCCAATCCCATTCTTTATCTGTTGTATTATATGGAGAATGATAACATGGATATATTTCATTAATCTATAAATGATTAAGAAAACTTGTTCGAGAGTTTATTATATTTTTAAACTGATCAATCTTTTAAAAAAAATGATGTGATTATTAATCAAATATCTATAAAAGCATATGAGACGTAAATTTTTTTTGTCGGTTTAAACAAAACAAAATCTTATTTGGATAAGTTTTTCAAAAGCTTTAATAAACAAGTTCATATATCTTAATCTGATTCATCCGAAGTTTTTCATTACCTGATAGTTTCTTGATGTAAACCGTTCCAAATTGTACGTACCACCACCTGGTGTGATAATTAGTATATTATCGATTTCATTTTCATATATCACTGTTACGTTCCAATGTTTAAAAAAGACATCACGTCCCTTAGGTCCAACTTTTCTTATCATAATAATTGAATTGATTTGACATTGACCAATGATAAATTCTTTTGATCGATATAACTCTGTTGTACCGGCTAATGCTAACATTAATGCAAAACCATAGATAAATATACTACAATATCCACTACAACGCATTCTTTCAGTAATAAACTATTTGCATCTTGATGAAGGAATAAATTAAACATGTACTGTCAAAAAAATAAAACCGCGACCAGGACCATTTCAGAACGTTTCTTTCGCTGTATAGAAAGAGATAGAAAAAAGCACATGAGAGACATTGACTAAAAAGAGAGAACGAAACAAATATTTCTATAGATTGTTTGTTCTTTTCTTTGATCCTTCTGAGTCATAAGCTATGTTCCACATATAAATTACTTATTGATCAATCAATGAATATTCTTCTATTTCTAATAGATATATTCAATATTAATACATTTTCTTCTCATCTAATAAATGAAAATAATCTCAACAATCACATTCAATTGAGCATTTATTTGGAGTAATATTATGTATCAGATGTCGCTAAATGATGATTTGATTGTTTACAAATTGCCGCATGATGTACTAAACAGATCGAGAGGGATAAATCGAGAAATAACTTATTGTTAGAAAAAGAAAATGCGAATTTGTTTTTATTATTATCAATAGTATTTTCTAGTTGAATAGATTCTCACAACTTTCAAAGTATTCTAGCTCCGAATATGCTCGATTTCTCTACAGATGATTTCTCTTTTATTTTCACAGGATTGTGTCTCCTTTCATTTGGACATCGTATGACGTCGTCACTCAACGCTTGACTCATTTTTTTACAGTAAAATTTCTAATCTTATGTTTTGAATTACTTTTTCTTTGCTCTTCCTTCCATAGTCCATCTTTCAAGATTAAATAATTCTAATATTTTCTTGCTAATGTGCCCTTTAAACTACGCACATAGGTTTTTTTACTTCATCATTCATGTGACAGACGATCATTTTCTCAACACCTAGATTTTTTTGCTAGTCATGTTCGTACTTTGCTCTTCAAGGCTATATAAACCTCATCTTATCTGCTATAATATTGATTCTTCGATTTGATAGAAGTACATTTTAAAAATGGGTATTTTATTATACTTTCTCCTTCTGATCAGTACTACAATCGGTGCATTGTCAGCTGAATGTAGTCCGTTTGCAGCTCCACCAAATCTATCTAACTGTACCAAACCAAAATGGAGTCAACAAGGAATAACAATTGCTGGAGATGGAACTGAAGGAAATTCAACCACGAAGCTTGGTCATCCATTTTGCATATTTCTTGATCAGAATGATGATCTGCTTGTATGTGACTTTGGAAATCACCGAGTACAAAAATTTCAATCTGGTTCAAATGTTGGTACAACTATTTGCGGTGCATTAAATAATACGGGATTCTATCCAGGTGATGTGTTCGTCGACTCCGATAGTAATTTATTTATTGCTGATTATTATAATAAACGAGCACTTAAATTGTTTCCTAACAGTAGTGATAGTAAAATTATTGATACTAAAAATTCCTATCCCGGTTCGATCTATCCTGATAACCAAGGTAATATATTTGTTTTACAATTGGTTGATGAAGGATACGGTTCACCATGGCAATTGGTGAAATATTCGATAGAAACAGGAGAAAAAACTCGGTTTGCAATTGAATTGACTAATCCAAGTGGTCTGTACGTAGATGAATGTGGAACAGCTTATACAGCTAATGCAAGAGGAACAAATGATGGAACAATTCAAAAGATTATAAATGCCCGTGATCCAAAAGGTATTGTTTTAGTAGGTGGTTTGAAGGAACCTACAGATGTGACATTGGATCGTTATGGCAATGTGTATTTTGTTGAACGAGGTGAAAGTCGTATTCGACGAATAAATGCACGTGATGGTACAGTGGAAACTGTCGTGGATAAACAAGGAGTACTTGTATTTGGTACTCAGTACTGGAATGATCCACGAAATGTGGCCTTTGATTCAAAACATAATTTATATGTTGCTGATTTTAAGAATTTTCGCGTACAAAAATTTTTATTCGAAGGTGGAGATCTTTTTTGTTAATTGTACTATAAGAACTTTTTTTTCGTATTAGAAAAGTAAAAGAATTTTGAAATTAACTTATAGACATACAAGAAAAAGCATCTTACAATCTTTGAAACACTGATGAAAATACCTGGCTGTATAAAGATGAGTTATTTCCTATTGAGAAGTTTGTGATATTGGTCTACAAAAATCGTATGAGTGTTCCCACTAGTGTTTAATCTTTTGTTCAGTACATTTTTAAATAGACCGAGTTTGTTATTCTGTTCTAAATTGAATAGTCTACTCGAACGTTCATATGGAAGTAAATGGCATGCCAATAAGACCGAATGATATAAAGCAGAGAAAGAAAAAGATTTAAAGAACAGTGATGAATGTCATATATTTTGCTTTCTTTGAATGTACGTATCTTTACTTTCATTTCGTTTTGAGTTTTATCTGATTTTACTTGTGAGAAGTTTATTTTCTTCTTTTCACCCAGTTATTAGTGAATGAAAGTTGATCTACGCACACATAAATACGGTGCTCACTTATCCAGCAGAATAAATCATGATCTTCGATTGGCTTGGTTTTCTTTGTGTATTTCATTTGGATCGAGAATGATCAGACGTCTCATCTGGAAAAAAATGTTGTTTGAGAACTTGGTGTTCATTTTAAAGAACTATTATCGCTATGTATATAAGAATATCTTAATGAATGATCTAACAAATGCGCAAATGCAGCAATTATCAAACTAGTTCTTGAGGGTGAGGGTATGAGCGTCAAAGGGTGCGTGGGGTGTGAATGCAAAATTCCTTCATTTATCGACTTCCACTCACACTCTCACCGACACGCGCTCTTATCCACACACATACACCAACACCCAAAACATTCAGACGCACCCTCAAGGTCACTATTGACCCCTTATTCAAGCCTGATACAAATAAATTAATTCTGAAGGGGGTCGCAAAATGGCCTTACCCGCCCTCCACCTTTTGGCTATTAGTTTTACTAAAAAAGTTACTATGTTTTTTCGTTTCTTCGCACACTTCAAACAAGTATAGTTTTCGAGATCGCAAATAGCACGGGGTCGATGGAAGATCCTTGTTCATTTGTAGAGAGAATTTCGTCCAAGATTTTGACGAAGGTAAGTACCTACGATTTGTTTCACTTCTGGCATCAATACGATAGAACCATCTGAATTCTTAAGGTTGTGACCTTGCGCCTTTAGTTTGTCTACAACGTCAGCCACTTCCTCAAACTTAGTTGATGAGTAGAAACCATTAGCCGTTTGAGACACCATTCTTTGTACCATGCGTAGTAGTTCGTTAAGTACGTCTTCCTTATGAGCATTATCTCCTTTATTATTCACTGCTATGTACCGTCCTCCAAAGTCATTCAATACTTTTTTCAAATGGGAGTCAGATTCCAAACTATCCAGATAATCTTCAATAGTCGGATATTCGTCTTCAATTATATCTATTCCAGTGAATACAACTACACAAAAATTGGCTGCCTCTTCGCCGAAGACCGCCGTAACTCGTTTAGCCGCTGTTCGCTGCTCTGCACTGAAACGATTGCATACACTGTGAACAATAAGAAATGCGTGCGGCCCAGGAGCTAAGATTTGATATGATTTAGTAATCTCATCTTCAATTACGTCACCCGAGAGAGTGGTGTCGAAAAAACCCGGAGTATCAACCACAACTATTTGTTTGCCTTTGTACTCGCGTTCCTCCACAGTACAGATTTTCGTAATAGACGACTCGCTTCTCTGAGCTTTAAATTTTTTATTTCCTATGATGGTATTTCCAAAAGAGCTCTTTCCTGAAACATGAGAGAGACAAATGTTCCAGTAATTATCAAAACCGTGTGTATTCCTTACCATTGCCGGTGGCACCCATGAGAACCATTCGAACTTCGTCGTTGATATCGCCGTGTCTAATGCGTTGAGCCTCAAAACCAGGAAGGACAGCATTGGTAGTAGTAAGATTATGAAGATCAACATCACCGTGTTTGATGTATTGAGCCTCAAAGCCAAGAAGCTCATCAAGAAGGACAGCATCAGTATCAGTGAGATTATGAAGATCGATATCACCGAGAAGACGAGAGAGAGCTTTATCACTGAGATTATTAGGATCAAGACCAGTGAGGCGAGCAGCAAGATTGAATTGGGTTTGCCCTTCACCTGATGTTTTGTAGATGCTCAAGCGTTTTTTGTCTCTTCCTAAAACAAACACCATTTGATTTGTGTAGAGGCATGAGAAATACTACACTTTTTGGTGCTCCTAAGAATTTATGTAATATTATATGAAATAGTAACTATACGTCAGCTACGGATACAACAGTTTGATTGATATCTGATTAACCAACACTGTAATACACTGGACATAAATTATTTTTAGCGGAATGGTACCAAAAGAGAACTCGCTCCAGTGTGAAAGTTTCGTGAAAATCACCAACAAATTAGCTGATGGGAAAATCGCATCAAAATATAGGTTAAGCTACTATCGAGTTATTCTTAATTTGAGAGTGTTGCTTTGGGACTTATATCTTACTTTTACTTACACGGACACTCAGACTCTCACCCACACCCACCCTTAACTTATACCATTCGATAGAGAATCGAGTTTGGGAAGTATTCCAGGGCTGGGGACCTATTCCAAATATCTGAGTGAACATCGGTTAGAAAAACCAAAGTTCATTCTTAATTTTTCTCGCGTTTATATGAAATATTATTAAGTTCTGTAAAACTAAAAACGGTTTTCTACAGAAAATGTGAAACCTTTTAGATTTAGTATGAAACACTTGAAATTCCATGCGAAACATTAAAGTCCGGACAGAACCGACAACGCTTGGTATCCTCAAGAGGAACCGTTTTTCCTTCTACAAAATCTAAAAAGGTTTCGACTTTGTCCAGAAGAAGAATCGTTTTAGGTTTCTCGAAATCCGTTGAAATATTCTCCATCATGTCTAATGTTTCGTATTGCACCTATTAGTTTAGTTTAGATTGTACATATATGGCATCGAGATGCAAGATAGCATATTGTTTTCGGCGAAATCGTATGAGTCGTTGCCATATTAATGAGGGCATTAGTATTTTTTCAAGAAGAACTCATATAGAAAGGTTCAGTTCCAAACAACAGCATTAGACTATGTCAAGTTGTTTGCAGAATAACTAATGCATAAATAAACGCACAGAGAAATTCAGGTGGATTCATTTTTGATTTCCGAACATCTGCCTGTATTATGGATAAAGCGGAAAATTTTAGTACAAAATCTTTTAACTATGATACTTCTTAGAAGTTTCCTATGTAACCTTTGTGGATGAGTGAGAGTGTGAGTATAAAGGGAACTCTCATCCACACCCACCTAACTTGCGTGACCCATCAGTGCACAAGAAAAAAGCAGATAATCGAAGTTATGACTGACTGGAGGAAGAGGGGGGCGGGATATTTGCTCTATAGCAAACCGTCATACTCACCAGAAAAACGTTGTCTTAATTCCAAGTAGATTAAATGTTTGCCTGTTTCAGACTCCTCTTCGATACGCAGAACACGAAAACATACACCTGGTGTAACAAGTTCTTCTTCTTCATTAGGGTATTCAGATAATTCACTAAGATCAGCAATAAAAGCAAACTTCACTTTCATGATGAACAGCGTATTTCCAAATTGTTCTGCTTTTTGACGACTTCGACTAGCTGATGAGAATCCTTGAAAAGATCCATATTCATCCTCTTTCTGGGCCATTTTTTTATAAGCAACAATCTGTTCTGGTTTTAGGTAGGTTCCACGGTAAAGTTCGATATTCGTTTTCATTTTTGTATTGAATGGATCATCCCATAGCAACAAACAAAATGGACCTAATGTTTGAACTTTACTTCGCCAAATCTTTTCATCTTTTTCGCTTCCAACTAATCTCATAGTCGTATTTAATGTTTTGTACAAGAAGCTCTCCAACGAATATAGATAAGCACAGCATTGCCATACTTCTTCCATTTCTTTGTTCTTTTTTTCTCGAAGTATATCAGCCAGTTCTTTTGCTTCTCGTTGTTTTCCGATATGTTTACCTTCTTGAATGATACCTTGCGCCGCTTTCTCAACAAGCATAGGTATTAGGTGTGGTTTTCTGGAAGGAAGTTCATCTATCTGAAGACCCAAATGTCTTCTAACTTCTATAACGAATGGTGATATGAAGCCATATTCACCACCAAATGAGTGATCCGATGAAACAGGAATATACATAAACCGTTCTTCTTCTAAATGTTTGTCTTCTCCCTTGCGCATCACTCTTTTCACAGATCTTCGCTTTTTATTATCGCTGTCAGATACCAGCATTTTATCGTTGAAATCGATATAATAACCATCCAAGACAGCTCGTTGTTTTTTCTTAGAGAATGCTTTTTCGATAATTAAATTTTCGACATGGGAAAAATGACTCCATGTGGGCAGTTCACTTCCTAACGGTGGATTTGGATTCGATTGCCACATCCATTCAACATCCTCCAATGACTTTGATTTTCTCCCAAATACAGAACCCATAATTCTTACTGATTTTCTCTCGTTTTTAAGAGAGCAAATGTGTTAGTTATTATGTATTTGAGTATCTGAAAGTATAAAACAAAGACTGAAATTAGTTCTACTAACTTTGCGTATCTGAGGTACTTAAAAAACACATATTTATGACATTTAACAGAAGAATCAAAGCTTAGCCCGTGTAATATTGATTTTTGGTAAGTGTTAAGACTACAAATTAGTCTATTGTGGCGGCGTCTTTCAAAATTTGGTGACGCTTAGAGAAAATATCCATTACTAGAGCAGCAATACTACGCATACCATGTAAAAGAAAGAGTAGTATGTATTAATAAATAGCATATTAATAACCATCTTGAAGGTGTGAGTGTTTACCTTTTTCTTTTCTACACCTACACCCATTTCTGGCTCGATATACCGATCGTTTTTTGGTTCGAGCTCCAAGTCATCTGATCAAATTCTTAAGATAACCATATTTAAATAACCTATGTGTTTAATTCGTAGTACTGACTTGGACATCTTAGTGCCCAGCAGGATATTCTGCTCGAAAAGTCAGCGAAATTTCAAACCAAACCAGAATTCTGGTTTCCCCTAATAAGTACTATTACCCATTGTTAGAAGATCAAAAAACAAGCAAAACATTACATGTATTAACACGCAAACATAGAAATAATGTATAAGAAGAGTCGAATGAATATTGTCTCGTTTAAAACTCGGGATGAATTTAAAAAATAATATTTGGTAAAGTCTTAGGATGTATTTAGTTGCAATTTAGTACAACTTAGTTCGAGAGAAAAAAGATTTCCTATGAAACTTAGAAAGAGTTTCGAAACTACTTTTTAGTTTCGTAGAGCACCTACTGTTTTAGTGTAATCTACCATCTTGTTTTGTATGAATGTTAATGCACGAATGTGTTCGAATAATTTGCAAATGTTTCTTTTGTCAAGTATCTATTGTTGTTATAGAGAGAAAAATGAAAAATACTTCTTTGGTAAGTGCATTTGTCGTTATGTACATAATTTGAAAAAGAAAAAGAAACATGGTGCGCATTATAAGATGGATTTTTACAGTCATCATGTGTGGGTATTTTTATGTGTTCATTTTATCATTAAAGAATAGAACAGAAAAAAAACTCGAAATCACCATTAAAGGACACCACTTGTTTTCGTTATTTAAATACACTTTCACAATTTTACTGCTCTTACATTTCTTTTGAAACGATCTTTCGGTGAAATTTGCTTGTTGAAAAAAAGTCTGCTGAACGCAGTAAAAATGTATAAACATCAAATCGTTCAAAGGTGCACAGTTTCATTTGAGAGGTGGGTATGGGTAAGAATATTAAATATATCTCGCACCCACCCACATCCACACCCTCAATTGATGATATATTCTACTTTTGTCCTTCATAAGTGTAGTCTTGTTTAAATAACATATGGAGCATTCTTTTATTTAGAAAACGGTTCCAGTTCTCAATTGATTTTCTTAAAAACGCAAATTATTTGAAATGGCATCTGATCACACTGAATCTTACCAAGGAACACTTGTTTTGTCGAAAATGCCGACTCGTATCGTTTCAAAAAATTCAGATGATCGAAAAGAACATTTATACACGAATCATTTTACCTGTTCTCTCGCGAACAGTATTCCAATCTATCTATATGATGCAGCGATAGAAGAAATGAACACCAAATCTAATAATTGGAGAGAAATAGACGGTCGAGCACGATGTGCTGTTATTATGCAATCAATCATTTCTAATCATCAGTTACAACCAAATGTTTTTGTATGGTACGATGAACAAAAATATCTATGTAGTACATCGAACTTGTTAACACCACAATTCAAGTTTAACGAAAATGGTCAAAATCGACTTCATGTCAAATCATTAATTAATCAATGGTCAACAATTGATATTAATGATTATATCCGTGGCCAAACAGAAATATATCCGTACGATACTGTACATATTCTGGAAACTCTTTTGAAGAGATCCCTTCAAGATCGAATTAAAACTGTTAAAAACAAAAATTACTTCGTTGATGAAACAGTAAAAGAACTTGGAAATGGTTTCGAACAACGAAATGGTTTCATTCAAACATTAAATCTGTCTTCTCATCGATTAACATTGAATATTCAAACTAGAATGTCAACATTTTATTCTGATATGTCTTTAATTGATTTTATCCATAAACAAATCGGTCGAAATGATATACCATCAGTTGATGAATGTCAACAATTGAACCAAATATTACAGAAGTGTTTGATTGTCACGCAGGAATCGAATCGAAGAATAGAGTATGAATTCGATGCATTTGTTTATAAACGACCGGCAGAGATTTACATAAGACCAGGCGAATCATTAACTGATTATTTTCAACATGCGAAAAATATTACATTAATTCAACCTGATTACCCATGTATTCAAGTGTATGTAGCAAGAAGCGCTTATGATAGAATGCATTTTTTACCATTAGAAATTTGTGAAATCAAACAATGGCAGATCTATGAACCTGTAAGAGATTCAGTAATGAAAAACTGAATAATCTATTACTGTGTATTTTCTAGTTTTCTCAAATACAAGAAGGTGGTAACTATGTTCCTACTCCAGAAGAACGTTATCTTCGAATTACGAATACAATTAAAAGTTGTAATTATAACTCCAGTTTACTTTGTCAAGCCCTTGGTTTTTATATAACTAACATTGATGAAATGTTAGAATTTGATGCTCGAATTTTGACTCCACCAAGAATCAAATCAGGTTTACATTATCCAGCTCATGTTGATAATGGTGTCATTTTTCTTGGTGGACATATATTTACACCTAAACCAATATCAAACTTAGCTATCACATATTTTGGTCGAAATTTCAAAGGGAATGAATCTGTTGTTGATGTGTTTGTACATACCTTAATTGATGTAAGTTTTCTGGTTTTGAAGAAGTTCTATTAGAAAATACTATATCTCTTTGATCTTCATAAGATCAGAATCAAATACGTCTTACGGAAATGCTGATTTATCTTTTTTAGGTTATGGAACGCTATAATATTTACGGACATCATGAAGAACATAATATAGCACCTATATTTGAAGATATCGATGAACATTTTCAGTCAATGGTTGAACAAAGATGTCAATTCATGATTTGTCTTATGGATGAAAGCCACGAAGATGATCTTACACAACTTAGAATAAATATAAAAAAATGTGGGTCAATAAGACATGGTAAATGATCTATTTGAACGAAATGGGATATTGAAATTTCAATTTTTTAGGTATAATGACTCAATGTGTGAGATATTCCGAAATTCCAATCAGTGAAAACAACTTAAACAGTTATTGTGAAGGTTTAATTCGAAAAATTAATTTTAAAAATGGTGGTATTAATACAAAAGTTGATCTGGACATGGCATTAGAGAAGAAACAATCCGAAAAAGATTTGTACATGTTTTTTGGTGCGAATATTCTACATGGAATGAATGACTCTCATGAATATCCATCAATTGCAGGTAGAATATTTTTATATACTTTTTCATGATAAAATATTTCGGAATTTCAGCGATCATTGGTTCCGTTGACTCATCTTGTGCAAGATCAGCTGGACGTGTTTGTAAACAATATCCAGGAAACGGAAAATTTCCAATTGATACTATTGCTGGTATAGGTAAAATGGTTGAAGAATTATTGGATTATAATCGACAAGAAAATGGATATTTGCCAAATAAAATCGTCTTCTATAGAGATGGTGAATATTTTAATTTAATTTTATAAGAAATTTCTAAACATGAATTATATAGGAATTGAGAATAAACGAGTTTCGAAAATTCTTGAATGTGAAATTCCAGCAATTCGTCAAGCGTTTGACAGTAAGTTACTTAGGTGAATACATGTATCTTCTTTTGATAGTATATATACTTTGTTCTAGAAATGTATGGTGATAAAACTAAACATCCTCTTCTTACAGTTGTTGCTGTGAAGAGACGTCATAATACATGTTTTTTTACCTATAACTCCGATCCAAATCAAGAAACTTCAAAATCTGAAGATTCATCCAGAGTAACAGATAATATGTCAATTGGTTGTGTTATTGATACTACAATTGTTCATCCGTATCAACATGATTTCTACTTGAATTCTCATAGTACTTATCGAGGAGTTAATCGTCCGCCACTTTATCATGTTCTCTTAGATGAAATTGGTTTTACAGCTGATGAATTACAATTATTAACGTATCATCTATGTTTTACCGATGCTCGATCGTCTGCGTCGGAAGCTATTCCATCAGTTGCTCATCAAGCTAGCATAGCAGCATTGAATGCTCGCGATTTATTTTGTAACGATGACGTTACTGAACAAGATTACCACATGAAAGATACAACTATCAATGATTTAGCCTATGAGATGCTCAACGTTCATGAAAATCTTAAAAATCTACCTGTATTTAGTTAAATTTTTTGCCAAAGCGTATTTGTGACATTTATTCTGTTTTGCTTTTACATTAGTCGGTTTAGTTCCATCAAAAACTTTCCTTTTATGATTGTAGTTTTGTTCTTTTAATAATCAAAAAATACAAAGTTTAATTTTATTTTGAGCGTGTGTTTATGGGCGGGGGTGTGGGCGCGGGTACAAGATGAGCTGTACACCCACACCCACCCCACACCCACACCCACACCCACACCCACACCCACACCCACACCCACCCTACATTATTATAACTGCCAGAGACTGTATCAAATTATCTTTAAAGGCCCAAAACATTGTGTTTTACTGTCTAAAATGCCTCATTTTTCTTGTATAGATTAATCAACTGATGTGTCGCTCTGTAAAGGCACATTCGGTTTTTATAGTTGCACAAGATTCATATAGTTGCGCAGTTTCATTTTCGATTTGTTTGCTTTCACTGATGAAGATTACTGATGAGGACAGACAAATAGGAAGGCCTTGCCAGATTTCCCTTGTGAGTGGAGAAAATGTAATTAAAATAAGATGCCTTACCTGACCAAGAGCACAATAATAAAAATCACGTCTCAGAATTTGTAACAAAAAAACAACAAACAGATGAGAAAAGAAAGAAAAAGCGCACATACTCGACTGTCATAAGTATTGCCGATACAAGTTAAACAAATGTGGTTTTTTCTCACCACAGGAGAAGCGAATTTGCATACAAGAGAGAAGAATTCTTCGAGTGTAGTCCAAATAAGGTATTTCGATATTCAATGTGGGTGTGGGTGTGAGTGAGACCGATCGGGAGAGGGTGGGTGTGGGTGATGAATGTAGGTGAATGAATGACTAGAAAATCCACTCATACCCACACCCACCCACACCTACCCAAACCCTCACTCACCCACCCACACCCAC